TTTTTTTTTTAATTCAAATATGTTATATCAGTTATTATACTTCAGAATGTGCACTTAGCTAGTGGGGGCCCATTTAAGCGAACTACCATGCCCTTTGACACATCCTCATTAGTTTTTGAGAACATTTTTGTTTCCTAGCATAGCAAGATGTTCCAGGTTTACCTTATACTTTCCTTCTCCAGAACTGAAATAATCAGCCTGTTTTCTCCAAGAAGCCATGGTTCATTTTAGTAGGGCATTACATATAGAAACCAAGATACTGGCATTAAGTGTGTTTGTTGCCAATGTGACATCCATTGCTTCTAGGCTCACAACTTCTTTAGGATTACCCTTGCTAATGAAGTTCACAGTTAGACCCAGTTCAGCAAATTCATTTCATTTCAACTGGTATTTTTGGGCAGCAGGGGTGATAAAATGAAAAAGATTCATTCTTTATCATTTGCAAGCTTACAAGTTAGGGTGAAATAGAAACCTAAATCCTGAGTCTATGCAAAGGAAATTGTGATAATAAATGTTATTATAGTAATACAGAGAATAGGAGATTCTTTTTCATTTTGCTTTTGTATTTTTTAGGAAAAAGAGTAATTGTTTCCTAAAATAGACACGAGTGTCATCTCCTTGATAACAAGGGTTTGAATCTAATTTAACTCCGTATCTGTATGCCTTAGATTCCTCATCTAAAGAGTATTTTTCTTGGTTGATGAATAAATTTCTTTTAGAAGAATCAGTGCAAGGCTGGACCCTATGAGGCAGAGTTCAAAGGTGTCCCAAAGGTCCAGCTTTTCCAAACTGGTGTACTACTCCATCTCTAATTCCCCCCCACCCCAGTATTCTCTGGCTCATCTTAGGGTTCCGTAATTTACCGCAATGCCTCATACAACTCACAAACCGTAAAGGTAATGACTCGTATGGTTATGGAAGCTGGAAAGTCTGAAACCTGTGGGTCAGGCATCAGTCTGAGGATTCTCCTCACTCGTGGTTGTAGAGATAGGTCACATGATAGGTCAAATAATAAGCTGCTGGCTCAAGTTTCAAGAACGAGACATTAGAAGATAACAAGCTGGATGCAGTATCCAGAACAAGAGAGAGAACTTTTCCAGGACCTTCATATATATTGGATGAAGATCATATCTTCAGGGAAACTAAGCGTGGTCACTTGAGTCACACCCTCTAGTAAGATAGTGACTCAAGATGCTTCCCACCCTGATCCTGTCTCACTCCAAAATGGGACCATGATCCTAGCCATGGTGGTGGTGGTGTTGTTATGTGCAACCCCTCCTTAAGTTTCAGAGGTGGTATCACTACAGAAGTAGATTACCCAACCTTCCTTGTGAGGAGTGGCTGCTGGGTTTGAACTGTCAGCCTTCTGGTTAGCAGTCAAGTGCTTAGGCACTACACTACCAGAGCTCCCAATCCTAGCCATAAAGGCTAGGATTTACAACATGTAACAAATGGAGGACTCTGACTCCATATTAAGTAATTCACTACACTACAGTTGGCATGTGAGGAGTTAGCTGCAGGGATCCAGGTGAGGAAAGGGAACCCAGGCCATGCCCCAAAGTGGCAGGGCAGGAGAGTGGGAGAAAGGAGAGGAAAAGGCCCAGAGACCAGGACAGATGAGGATTCAGCCACAGATGGAAGAGAGGAGAGGAAAAGGCCCAGGGACCAGGACAGATGAGGAGTGAGTGGCAGGGATCCAGGTGAGGAGAGGGAAACCAGGTCATGCCCCAAGGCAGCAGAACGGGGGAGAGGGGAGGAAAAGGCCTGAGAACCGGGACATAGCTGCTGTCAGATGGATCTTGGCTCAAGGCAAAGAATACCAGAAAGATGTTTACTTGTGTTTTATTGACTAGTCAAAGGCATTTGATTGTGTCGATCATGACAAATTATGGATAACATTGAGAAGAATGGGAATTTCCAAACACTTGATTGTACTCATGAGGAACCTGTACCTTGACCAGGAGGCTGTTGTTCGAATGGAACAAGGGGACACTACATGGTTTAAAATCAAGAAGGGAGCGCGTCCGGGTTGTATCATTTCCCCATACTTATTCAATCTATATGCTGAGCAAATAATCTGAGAAGCTGGACTATATGAAGAAAAGCATGGCATCAAGATTGGAGGAAGAATCATTAACAACTTGAGATATGCAGACAGTACCACTTATCTTGCTGAAAGTGAGGATGACTTGAGGCAGTTACTGATGAAGATTGAAGAATACAGTCTGCAGTATGGATTATGTCTCAGTATAAAGAAAACAAAAATCGTCACAACTGGACCAATAAACATCATCACGATAAATGGAGAAAAGATTGAGGTTGTCAAAGAATTCACATTGTTTATTTCTACAATCGGTGCCAATGGAAGCAGCAGTCAGGACATTAGACGATGTGTAGCATTGGGAAGGTCAGCTGCAAAGGAACTGTTTCAAGTGCTGAGGAGCAAGGATGTTTCCTTGAGGACTAAGGTGCACCTGACATAAACCATGATATTTCCATTCACCTCGTATGCATGTGAGAGCTGGACAACAAATAAGGAAGACTGAAGAAGAGTTGATGCTTTTGAGTTGTGATGCTGGCGAAGAATGCTGAAAGTACCGTGGACTGCTAAAAGAACTGACAGATCTGTCCTTGAGGAAGTACACCTGAAATTTTCCTTAGAAGCAAGAATGACCAGGCTTCGTCTTGCCTATTTTGGTCATTTTGTCAGAAGGGACCATTCCCTGGAGAAGGATGTCATACTTGGTAAGGTGGAGGGTCGACGAAAGAGGGGGAGGCCTTCAACGAGATGGATTGATATGGTGTCTGCGTTGATGGGCTCAAGTATAGCAAGGATCATGGAGCTGGTGCGGGATCAGGCGGTGTTTCATTCTGTTGTTCATGGGGTCACTGTGAGTCGGAGACGACTTGACGGCACCTAACAACAACAACAGCAGTTGTTTTGTGGGTCAAATGAGACAAATATATGTGGAATACTTAGCCTGCCAATTGAGACTTTGTAGGTATGCAAAATGCTACAGTGTCTGGTAGTAGTCGTCCCTGGACCCCTGGACCTGGCATCCATTCCTTGACTCCTCCTTTCCATAAAAACCTCTATTTTGTTCAGTGTAGTAGCTATTACTATAATTATTAATTTTTTTAAATTATTTTTGATAGAACTTAGTGAAGCTGTGACAGGTGACATGGGAGAAAATGCAACCTTCTCTAAATCTGTTCTGCCCGTGAATCCCGTTGAGATAGAGATTGAAACTCCGGAGCAGGCTAAAATAAGAGAAAGGAGGTAAGATTAGGCACTTGCTTCCATGTTCCTGTCATATTTTTTGTTGTCGTTAGATGTCATCAAGTCATCTCCGACTCTTAGTGACCATATGTACAACCAAACAAAACACTGCCCAGTCCTGTGCCAACCTCACAATCCCTACTATACCTAAGCACATCACTGCAGCCACCATGTCAGTTCAACTTCTTGAGGGCCTTCCCCTCTTTTGCTGACTCTCCACTTTAGCAAGCATGACATCTTCTCCAGAGAACAGTCCCTTCTGATAACATGACCAAAGTAGGTGAAATGAAGTCTGGTCATTCTCGTTTCCAAGGAGCATTCCAGCTGCACTTCTTCCAGGATAGACTTCTTAGTTATTTTAGCTGTCACACAAAATAGACAGCAACACCTATTTAATGAAAACTTTTGAGAAGGTCACAGGAGACCAAGGCTGAGTGTGAGAGTGGTCAGGAATCTTGGTTCTGGGATTCCTGAGTTCAACTTTGGACTTGAATGAGAAACCTCCTATCCTGGGTAGGGCAGGAGATGTTGTTGTTGTTATGTGCCGTTGAGTCAGACCCGACTCATAGTGACCCCTCCTTGAGTTTCTGAGGCAGTGTCACTACGAAAGTAGATTGCCCCATCTTCCTTCCAAGGAGTGGCTGGTGGGTTTGAACCACCAGCCTTCTGTTAGCAGTCAAGTGCCGTAGGCACTAAGCTACCAAGCTTCTGGGCAGGAGATAGGAAGAGGGAATTCTGTTGATTGATTGATTGATTGATTGTGATTTGGGTGAAAGTTTACAGACAAATTCACTTTCCATACAGCAGTTCACATATACTTGGTCTCATGACATTGACTACAATTTATCCCAATGCAATAGTTCCCCTCCCACTTCCTCCCGATAGTTACCTCTTCCCTGTGTCCATCCCTCCATGCACTCCTGCCCCCTGAGCTGTCTCCCTGTGAATAAACAGCCCTTCTTTCTCCCATTATTATTCTCTCCAAGGAGTGTGTTCCTCAGGTAAATGTTCAACGCATGTGCTTGTCTTTTGTTTGGCTGGAAGCCACGGGTGTGGGTTCAGTTGCAGACCTGAAGGGCAGCTAGGGACCATAGTCTCAGTGGTTCTACCAGGCTCTATCAGACCACACCTGGACCCCCCAGGAAGAGGGAATTCTTATGCATTGACCCCTGCTATGTACCAAAGGCTCTGTAGGTTGTTTATTATCTTACTTAATTCTTAGATTAGTACTATGGTGAGGAGCCAGAGGCTCAGAGAGGTTAAGCAACTTTCCAGGAGTCACTCAGCCAGGAAGGAGAGGCACAAAGATGTCAACACTCATGCTCTTTGCACCCATCACACTGCAGAACTTGAGGCAGTGCCCTGCCATGGTAGGGAGCCCTCATTTCCATCCTAGGACCCCTAGTACCACAGGACCCTCTTCGAGCTTGGGAATATGGAGCCCAATACTTGTTATTTAATTGTTTAGTGAATTCCACTGTGTGGTGAGCTCATTATTAGGCACAGAGAGGGGAATTCGCTGAATAAACTCTATAGTTTTCTTGAGGATGCATAGGATACCAACATGAAAAATTTTATACCAGAAGAACATCATACAAATGAGTGTATATTAATTTAACATAAACAGTAAATACTAAAGAAGAAATTAGGTTAGACAGTCAGAGAAGATGTCTTAGAGGAAAGAAGTTCTGAGGCATGTTTTGAGGCTTCATTTGAGAAGAGGGCAGTCTGGGTAGACAATGTGTGAGCTACAGTTTGGAGGTGAGGACTAAATTGTATGCAGAAAATGGTTAGCTTGCAGATTTGCTTGAGTGGCACAGCCTACTGCAGGAAAGCAAGGAGAGTGATCTATGTGTCATTACGAGTAAGAGGAATTGACTGGTGGAATGGGGTTTGATTCCAAGTCCCCACTTTTGATTTTTTAATATGCATTGCAGTGAAAGGGTAAAAATGGAATTTGAGACGTGTCTTCGGAGGATGGTGAAACGCTTCAATAAAGAAGTTCATGAGGACACACACAAGGTAAGGGCAAGGATAGGACATTTTCCTCCTCTTTGATGAGGCAGGGTTATATGGAGGCAGGGCTACAGTCAGTCAAACCTAGATTTTATTTCTGGCTCTGCTACTTACTTTGTAACTTTGGGCAAGTCTCTTATTTTCTCTGAGCCTTACTTTGCTCCTTCATGAAGTGAGAGTTTTAGTAGTGTCTACCTTGTAGAGTGGCTGTGAGGATTAAGCAAAATACTGCATGTAAATCGCATAGCGTGTAGTAGGGCTTAATAATATGTACTCTTCTTCCATTTTCTCTTTTAACTATTTCATAACATTAATACTGATCTCGGCGAAAGTCACAGTGGCTTCAAGTGGTAGTTATTAAACATGTGTTATTGACCTGGCAAGGTGTTAGGCATTGGGGTATAGAGACATGCATAAAGTTTACTTCCTCCTGGGTAGGAGTTTATGATCTCACTGGTGAAGCAAGAAAGACCTCAAAACGTAGAAACTTGAGACTGTATGCTTAGAACAGTGAAAGATATGAGTGTGATTCTGAGTAGCTGAAGAAGGCTCTACTTAAAAGATTAGAGCTGGGTGAGAAGGGACAGCTTGGGGAGATGGGAGAGGAAAGAAAGCTGGGAGAACTGCTCTAGCCAAGTTGTGGAGGAGACCGTGGGATGACCAGCCTGTGATATGTGGAGGACATATGTGTGGGAAGGAACGTCTTTGATGCTCCTCTGATTGACAATGGGAGCTAGACAGGACAGGGATGGGATGGGAGTGTGCAGGTGACAGCAAGAAACATGGTGTCTGCAGCTGCCGTGACATCTGAAAGAATGAAAGAAGCTTCTTTGAAGGTTATAGACTCTGTGTGTGTGTGTATTATATATATGTGTGTGTGTGTATGTATATATATGTGTGTGTGTATATATATATATACACACACACACACGTGTGTATATATATATATATGGAGGGCCTAAGGCACTTGACTGCTAACCAGAAGGCTGGTGGTTCAAGCCCACCAGTCACTCCTCCACTCCTCGGAAGGACAGAAGGAGTTGGGCCCGACTTGACAGCACATAACAACTCTGTGTGTGTGTGTGTATACACACACACACATATATTATACACATACATACTTACAATTTTTTTTATCAAGGGAATGAGCATATAGAAGTGAAATGATAAGCATACAGCACGGACAATTATGGGACTGGAAAGTTCTCAAGGCCCCTAGAGGATTACATGAGATTACTCCTTTCACCTCTTAATGGGTGTTGGAGGTGAAAGAAAGGGAAGAATTGTGATGACTCCAGGATTTGGAGCTTAGGTGAAGAGAGAAGGGCAGTGCTATTGATGATAATGGGGAAGCTATAAGTAAGCCCTGTCATACATACATAGGGTTGCTGTGAGTCAGAATCAACTTGATGGCACTTAACAATAACAGCAAGTAGGGAAGAAGGGAGATGGATTTTGAAGGGAAAATGATGAGAAGCTGTATTTGAGAGAAGGGAAAGACAGCCATGTAAGCATTTCAGTCAGTCGATGAAGAGTGGGACTAGAGATCAGAGGAGGGGCAGAGGTGTGGGGTCAGCAGCAGAGAAGGTTGATTCACACACACAAGTAGAGCAGTACAGTGAGCTCCCTAGTCCCATCTCTCAGCTGTGACCACTGTCAGCTCTCGCACAGGCTCACTCGTGTATACCACCACTCCCCTTTGCTCCTGATCTTCTCTGAGCAAATCCCAGACACTGTAGCATTCCATAAGTCCTTCAGCATGTATCCCTTACAGGCAAGGCCTCTTAGGAAAAGAAGCAGCAGCTTCTTTAAAGCTTATAGATTGATTGATTATTTTTATTTAAAGGGAATGAGAAGAGAGGAGGAGGGTGAAAGACGAAGTCTTGTGAAGTGGAGAATGTTACTATTTTTCTTGTGTGTGGAAATGACTACAACTATTTTCTGCCCACCAAATGTCTTACCATTTGGCAGTAGAATCTCTGCTAGTTTGAGCCTTCCTTCCATATCTTCCCCTTTTTTCCCTTTCCTGTTTTTTCCCAGGTTCACCTTTTGTGCCTGCTAGCAAATGGCATCTATCGAAATCGCATCTGCAACCAGCCAGATATGCGTGCCATTGGCCTCTCCATCATCCCAACCCACTTTACCAAAGTGCCACTGAGAGATGTGAACGTCCGCTATCTCTCCAACCTGGTGAAATGGTAGGGCCCTCACCCTGGCCGCAGAGCCCTGGTATAAGATTTGTGTTTTTCTCAGAGAATAAGGTTGATTCACTCCATACACATCCATTGAGGTGGTGTTAGATGCTGTGTACAACATTAGGCATTGTGCACAGCACTGAAGAGAGAGGAGTATCAGGCATTATCCCTGCCCTGGCAGAGCTCCCTGATACACACCAGGAAATTACAGATTAGTGGGATGTGTGCTCCAAAAGGTGGGCTCTGGGAACTACAGCACATGGGGAAGGGCACTTTTTCTCAGCTGGGTGGTCTGGGAAGACTTCCCAAGGTGGTGAGGTCTGAGTTGGTCTTCACTGTTAAGTAAAAATTGGCTAGACAGGGTGGGAAGAGTAAAACATAGGTGAGTCTCACAGTTCATTCCCCCTTTTGATTTGCTTGGCTATAAACGAGTAGGAATTCCCCTGTGCCCTGACTTCTGACACAAGGGGACATCTTGTTTCTATCCAGGTTTATTGGAACATTTACAATTAATGCAAACCTTTCAGCCAATGAGCAAGATAGTCTACAGACTACATTGGAAAGGAGATTTGCTATTTACTCAGCACGAGATGATGAAGAATTGGTTCATGTAAGTGATGCTTGCTGGCAGCACTGTTTTTATTAGTACTGTTAACTAACAATAATGCCAGTCATTGCATGTCCAGGTGTTTTACATATATTTCCTGTTAAGGCCTCATAACAATTTTAATAGGTACTGAGGCTCAGAGAGGCTAAAATAACTTCCCTGAGGTCATTCATGGCTATTCATAAGGTTTTCCAGTAATATATCAGACATGTTTCATTGCTATTTATAAAGAAATTTGGAAATAGCTACCTAACCTACTGACTAGAAGAGATCAGTATTTGTGCCCATTCCAAACAAAGGTGATCCAACAGAATGCAGCATTTATTGAACAGTATCACTAGTATCACATGCAAGTAAAATTTTGCTGAAGAGAATTAAAAAACGGTTGCAGCAGTATATTGATAGAGAACTTCCAGAAATTCAAGCTGGGATCAGAAGAGGACGTGGAATGAGGGATATCATTTGCTGATGTCAGATGGATCTTGTCTGAAAGCAAAGAATAGCACAAAGATGTTTACCTGTGTTTTATTGACAGTACAAAGACATCCAACTGTGGATCATAACAAATTATGGATAACGTTGCAAAGAATTGGAATTTTGGAACACTTAACAGTGCTCGTGAGTAATCTTTACATAGACCAAGAGGCTGTTGTTTGAACAGAACAAGGGAATACTGCATGGTTTAAAATCAGGAAGGATGTGCATGAGAGTTGTATCCTTTCACTATACTTACTCAATGTGTATGCTGAGCAAATAGTCCAAGAAGCTGGACTGTATGGAGAAGAATGCAGCATCAGGCTTGGAGGAAGACTCATTAACAACCTGTGATATGCAAGTAACACAGCCTTGCTTGCTGAAAGTGAAGATGACTTGAAGGATTTACTGATGAAAATCAGTACACCTCAACATAAAAATCCTCACAGCTGGATCAGTAAGCAACATCATGATAAATGGAGAAAAGGTTGAAGTTGTCAGGGATTTCATTTTACTTGGATGCATAATCAACACCTATGGAATCAATAGTCAAGAAATCAGACTTCATATTGCCCTGGGTCAGTGTGGTACAAAAGGTCTTTTTAAAGTGTTAAGAGCAAAGATAGCAGTTTGAAGAGTAAGGTGTGCCTAACCCAAGCCATGGTATTTTCAGTCACCTCATATGCATGTGAGAGCTGGACATGAATAAGGAAGAATAAAGAAGAGCTAATGCCTTTGAATTATGGTATTGGCCAAGAATACCAAAAATACCACAGACTGCCAGAAGAAAGAACAAATCTGTCCTGGAAAAAGTGCAGCTGGAATGCTCCTTGTTGTTGTTGTTGTTATGTGCCGTCAAGTCGGCCCCGACTCATAGCGACCCCTCCTTGGGTTTCGGAGGCAGTATCACTACGGAAGTAGGATTGCCCAACCTTCCTTCCGAGGAATGCTCCTTAGAAGTGAGAATAGCTAGAGTTCGTCTTACCTGCTTTGGTCATGTTATCAGAAGGGAGGATTACCTGGAGGAGGATATCTTGCTCGGTAGAGTTGAAGGTCAGTGGAAAAGGAGAAGATACCAACAAGATGGATTGACATGGTAGCTGCAACAGTGGCCTCAAACATATAGCAAGGATTGTGAGGATGGCACATGATTGGGTGGTGTTCTTTCTGTTGTACATAGGTTTGCCACAAATTGGAGCCGACTCAGCAGCACCTAAGAACAACAACACAAGGTCATTCATCCAGTTTGTAAGCAGTATAATCAGGATTGTAATCAGAGTCTGTGAGTTGAAAGTCAGTACTTTTTCTTTCTATTTGGTGATCTGATGTATGGAAGCATTTAATTTTTGGTCAAATGCCCTGGAAATGTCTCCATCAAATTAAAATGGTGTTTAGAAGTACCAAGGAAATGTTTTTTCAAAGTGGATGCAAACTCGTAATCTTGACAGCTGTTCCCTGCAATCGTTCAGAATATGTTTCCATACCTTTAAATTTGGGTGAGGATGCTAGCAGGGAGCTTTGCAGTAAGAAAAGGGCATCTTATATTCAGGAAGGATAGAAAAGAATTGTGGTGGAGTACTTTTATGTATAGACAGGTTTTATCACATGCTTTAATATACCTTAGGTAAGGCTCTGAATAAAGCAAGATGTGGTTATATCCCTAGAAGGATCCTGTTAATCCCTGTACTTGTTTGCATGCATCCTTGACTCCCTAGTTGTTTGGAGGAAGAGACTAGACTTTCCATATCTTCAGAGGCTCTCTGTAGTTGTCGTCTTCTATTTTGGCTTTAAAAAGTCTAAGATAATCTGGCATGCCTTTACTGGCACTCAGAGAAAACCATTGTTAATATTTTAGTAGTATCCTTCTAGATTTTTTTCCAGTGTGTATGTGCACACATACATTAGTGTATTTGTTTAAGCAAAATTGGGATCATACAGTTCTCATTTAGAGTAAACAACTCAGTCACATTTAGTATGTGCACAAAGTTGTACAACCACTACCTGTAGTTCCAGAACATTTTCATCTCCCCAAAAGAAAATCCTGTACCATTAAGCAATTATTCTTCATTCCTCCTCCTCCCCAGCTCATGGCAACCACCAGTCTTCTTTCTGTCTCTGGGTTTACCTGTTTTAGCTATTTCCTATAAATAGAATCATATAATACATCAGCTTCTGTGTCTGACTTCTTTCACTTAGCATATTTTTAAGATTCATCTATCTACATTGTAACCTGTATCAGTACTTCATTCCTTTTTCAGGCTGAATAATGTTCTATTTTATGTATATGCACTGCCTTCTAATCGGATCTGACTCATAACAGCCCCTCCTGGGGATTCTGAGGCAGCATCTCTACAGAAGCAGATTGCTCAGCCTTCCTTCCAAGGAGTGTCTGGTGGGTTTGCAGTCAAATGCCTTAGGCATTATGCTATCAGAGCTCCATTTTATGTATGTATATATATATATATATATATATATATATATATATATATATGGATAAACACAATTTGTTTGTCCATTCATCTGTTGATGGACATGCAGATAGTTTCCACAAATTGGCTATTATAAATAGTACTTCAGTGAAAATTCGTATACATGTATTTGTTTGAGTACTTGTTATATTTCTTTTGGGTATGGACCTAGGAGGGGAATTGCTGGGTCATGTAGTAATTCTGTGTTTAACTTTTCAAGGAACTGCCAAATTGTTCTCCACAGTGGTTGCATCATCTTACATTCTTACCAGCAGTGCACTGGGGTTCATATTTCTCCATATCTTGGTAATGCTTATTTTCCTTTTTTTTTTTTATTGTACCCATCCTGGTGGGTATAAAGTATGACCTCATTATGGTTTTGATTTGCTTGTCCCTAAAACTAATGATGTTGAGCATCTCATGTCTTTGTTTGCTATTTGTATATCTTTGGAGAGATGTCTATTGAAGTCCTTTGCCCATTCTTTAATTGAGTTGTTCGTTTTTTTGTTGTTGAGTTGTGAGAGTTATTAACGTATTCTGGATACTACACCCTTATTGTTCCTGTTCTGTAGGTTGTCTTTCTACTTTCTTGATAATATCTGATGCACAAAAGTTTTTAATATGGACAAAGTACAAAATACCTATATTTTTTTTCTTCCTTGTGTTATTATATCTAAGAACCTATTGCCAAATCTAAGATCATTAAGATTTGCTCCTGTGTTTTCTTCTAAAGGTTGAATGGTTTCAGCCCTTGTATTTAGATTGTTGATCCATTTGAGTTAATTTTTATGTATGATGTAAGTTAGGTGTTCAATGGCTATCCAGTTATCCTAGCACCATGTATTGAAGAGACTATTCTTTGCCCATTGTATCACCTGGACATCCTGTTGAAATCAGTTAGACAGATGTATGGGTTTATTTCTGGACTCTCAATGCCCTTCGATCTCTATTTATCCTTAGACTAGTACCACACTGTTTTAATTACTAAAAGTTTGTAGTTCCTAAGTTTTGCAATTGGGAAGTGTGAGGCTTCCAACTTTGTTCTTTGTCAGTATTGCTTAGGCTATTCGCAGCCTTTTGTAATTCCATAATGAATGTGAAGATCCACTTTTCAGTTTCTTCAAAAAATGCTGTTAGAATTTTGATAGGGATTACATTGAATCTGTAGATTGCTTTGGGTAGTATTTTTAGCTTGACAGTACTAAGTCTGCCAATCCATGAACATAAGGTGTTTTATTTAAGTCTTTAATTTCTTTCAGAAATGTATCATACTTTCAGTGTACATGTATGTCTTTACCTCCTTAGTTCAACGTATTCCTAAGAATTCTTTTGGATGTTATTGTAAATGTTTTTTTTCTTAATTTCTTTTTCATGTTGTTCATTTCTGGTATTTAGAAACACAGTTTTCTTTTGTGTGTGTGTTGATCTTGTATTCTTCAGCTTTGCTAAATGTATTAGCTTTAGTAGGTTTTTTAGTAGAATCTTAAGATTTTCTTCATGTAGGGTCAGGTCATTTGCAAATAGAGGCAATTTTATTTCATTCCAATTTGGATGCCATTTATTTCTTTATCTTGCCTAATTGCTGTAGCTAGAATTTTCAGAGCAATGCTGAATAACAATGGTGAGAGCACATATTTCATCTTGTTCCTGATCTAAGAGGGAAAACTTTTCAATCTTTCACTATTGAATACTGTTTATTGAAGGGTTTTCATAAATATGTTTTATCATCTTGAAGTATTTTCCTTCTATTCCTAGTTTTCTGAGTTCTTTTATCATGAAAGAGTGCTGCATTTTGTCAAATACATGTTCTGTGTCAATCGAGATCATGTGGGTTTTTTTTCCCTTCATTCTGTTAATGTGGTGTGTTGCATTGATGGATATTCTTATGTTGAACCATCCTTGCATTCCTAGGATAAATGCCCTCCTAGTCATGCAAAGAATATCAGAAAGATGTTTGCTTATATTTTATTGACTATGCAAAAGCATTCAATTGTGTGGATCATAACAAATTATGGATAACATTAAGAATTCCAGAACACTTAATTGTACTCATGAGGAACC